AAAGTTTGAAATGTATGGAATTAATAAATAAATATTTAATCTAAATTTAGTAATTTACTAACATGTCCTTTTACATGAATTTAAAATGAATAATTAAAATATTAAAATGGTTGGTTGAGATCGGATCTCACGATTACCACAAACAAGTTCTCATTTGTAAAATCAATGCAACCCAATCAATTGAGATATTTATGAAAATGATGAGAGTTCATTTATTATGATTTGAATATTTATTCAAGATTAATATGGTTCATTAATTATGATCAATAGTTTATACTAGGAAACAATCAAAACTTCTATGAAATCACATATTCATCAAATTAAATGGACGGTTGAGATTGAATTTTATTGATTGTACAAATGTAAATGGTTGTATAATAACCCACCTCTCTCTCTCTCTATATATATATATATTAGGTCGGCATATTCATGTGTATCAAAATGATCAAAATTTACTTTAAATAATTCGCAATTTATTTATTCAAGTCTTGTACATGTTTTTAAGCATAAATTATCAAAAAAAAAAAAAAAATACAACCACAAGGGTGTTGTCCGATCGGTTTGATCTTCGGTTCTAAATGTCAAAAATGCCCGAGGTCTCAAGTTCGAATCCAAAGAAGAATAAAAATCTTCTTGTGGTCACAGAAGTCAAATACGATGACACCGGCAGATAGTCGTTCTAGAATTAGTCGACTCGCATAACATGTTGCATATCCAGGTTAATTAAAAAAATATCAAAAATACGTTGCATAATTGATGATTTATTTTCTTTGCACATTATTTAAAACGATGTGTGCGTATATAATCCTCTCGTAACCCTACTTATAGATTTGATAACCTGTGACGACCCAAATATTTATGAGGCGATAATTTACGTACATATATACATAATTGTGCGTGTACATATAAATCTGTATGTATATATGATACCTTGTAGACATTAATACTCTAATAATTTTATTTAATTGATCTTACAAAATAGAAAATAGAAAATGTAAATGAATATGAACAAATATAATTTATGGGCTTGGCTTGTCAATGGGCTGATGATGATTTTGGATCGTTTTTTATTGGGCTTTGGGCTTTGCTCAACTTGAGCCCATTCCAGTCTTATTTAATATTGTGGTATATAACACTATTTTTCACACATAAATTGGAAAACTCATGTTTTCACATGACTTAACCAAACTTTAATTGGGTGTTTCAATCGGTAGAAATGTGAACCAAAAGGTAATAATACATGTAGAATGTGAACCGAGAACAAATGAGATTCTAAGGATGGGCAAATCATACCTGGTCCGTATAGTTAAATCAGCTGAAATACGATCGAAATTAGAGATAACACAAATCATATAGAGGAGAACCATTTTTGTTGTCCTGATTTGGTCTCTGAAATACAGTTAGCATCATATTTCTGGATTTCTACAAGGACCAAACACTTTCAGATTTCATGGATTGATTGGATAAACAACCAAAGCAGGTGATATCGAAGGTTACTTTGTATGTTCTGATCATCTTTCTGCTACTGTCTTGTTGGGAGTTTTATTTCTTGGGTCTTTTTTTTGGGCTTTGTTCGGGCTCCTTATCCTTTGGTTGCGGTTTGTTTTTTTGTCCTCTTGCTTCGTTGGCTTAGTTGTTGTTCTTCGCTTTTTATGTGGTTTTGCTGCGCTTTTTTCCATCTTCTTCTTGTTTTATTTGTTTAATAAATTTTGTTTTGATGTTGTTATAAAAACACAAATTATATTATTCTTAGTTTGGATCTATATAAAATTTGAAGGTGTTATTAAAAATAAAGTGTGTTATAGTTGTTAATTAATTCAAAATATTAAATTGTTAGACAAATATCATCCAAACATTATCTATTAAAAACAATCATTAAATGGTTGTTTGTTTATCTTTTAATAGTTCTATTAAGAGACAACATTTGAATCGTTAAGAGGTGAATCTTGTTTGACAAAAAAAAAGTCTGTCTCTTAATGTATCTAAAACCTTCTGAATGATTTTGTATCTTGGGTCTCCCTTAACCATTCAGCGCTTTAATTTCATTGCGAACAATTACCAAACTATTATATTTTATTTTGCACTATATCATTAGAGCCTCTTAATCATTCTGACCACTTAATCATTTTGCACCAAACCATTCAACAACTGTCAAACAACCCTTAAATCTCATGCCAAAATTGTTAACCACAATTAATAAAAAAAGAATACAACAATATAATTGAGCATTAGTTATTTGAATAAAATGATCAGATATTGAAGTGACTGATAGAGGGCTCATATGGGATTACTATTTATCGTTAGATTCTAAGTATTAAGAGACGTGAAGATGAATCATGCAAAAGTTGAGTCAAAATTAAGCTCAAACTCAAGTCAAGTAAAAAAAATAACTTGGTTCAATTGTCAATTTTAATCAAATTATGTAATATAATTAATGTTTTTTTTATTCTTAGTCATGTTGTAGGTAAATAAATTTTGAAGCACGTAACATATATTTAAATATGTATATAATCATGGCAATAAACGTAACTACACAAGTTATATTGATAGTATGCCTAACATATGATAGAAAAAGACTATAAATAAAAGATTGAATTACACGTTTGGTCCCTGTATTTTGTTCGTTTTCGATGCTTTGGGGTCCTAAAAATGAAATAAACGGAAATCAACCTTGTGTTATGCATTTTATTATAGTTTCTGGTCTCTCACTCTAACACCGTCCATGGTTGATTGTTAAGTGGCGGTCTGTGTCTATCACATGAGGGCAATTTAGTCTTTTTTAATCATTACGTTTTCTTAAAAAGTAAGGAATGAAATATACAAGCATTTTGTATACATATCATTTGAAACCTCAACTAAACTGAACTCTTTATATTTCTTTCCCAAACTCCTTCAACTCAAAGCGATGGAAGATAGATCAAGGGCTCATGAACACGATTGGAAATCAGCAAGTACTTGGTGTATTACGATTATGAACCCAAACTTGATGAATTAGGCTTTGAACTACACAAATGTAGCATGATTGGCTGACATGTTCCTACTGCTATATCGATTCTGAACTTACATCCTCAATTCCCAACAACTTTTGATGGTGCTAAATCACTTATAGAGAAGTTGTATATGGTGGCTACCAACAAAGACTTTGAGCCTCCAACTTTTCATTTATTTTGGGGTTCTCCTTTGAAGGCAATGACCAGTTTCTACATCTTCGACCTCATATCGTCTGCTTTGCTTCTGCTTCTCCAGTTCGACGTCATCTACATCTGCTTCTGCAGTTCGACATCATCTATATATGCTTCATGTTCTGTATGCATTTGCAACGGTTTCTACATTTTCGACCTCATCTGCATCTTTAGATTTAGGGTTATTGTGTTTTAAATTCAAGGTGTTTGTGTTTTAGATTTAGAGTTCTTTCTTGTTTTTGTTTTTGTTTTTAGAATCAAGGTATTTTTTTCTTGTTTTTGTTTTAAAATACATAAGTTTTGAACAATGATTTGTTGATAATGAATTTGATTTACTTGACTTTTTTGTATACTGTCGCATGAAGAACAAGAAATTGCCAAAGTGGTTGCGGGAACAGTAGGGTATAGAGAGGATGGAGGGAGAAGGGGAGGGCAGGGACGGGACATATGTCATTAGTTGAATTAAAAAAAATACATGTATGTTATTATCGAAATGGACAAAATGCCCATCAAATGGCAGGCATATAGGGTCACTTAACGGTCAAACATGGACAATGTTAGAATGATGGACCAAATCTATGATAAAATGCATTTCCTAAGCCTGATTTCCATAATTTCGTTTTAAAGACTTAAGTCGATAGAAATGATTAAGTACATTAACATGTAATTCACTCTAAAAAATATATATATATTTGGAGTAGACCGTGTCACAAAATCCAAAACTTCACTAATAGAATCTACGGTTAAGTTGGCTACAAAGAATGAATTCGCCACCATCTCCTCCTCTCCCTTCTCCCTTCTCCCTTCTCACCTTTCCCTTGCCCTCACAATACCATCCATATATCTTTGACCCAACACCAGTTTGCGATCCAAATTGGCACGTACTTGTCACGAGCTCGAATTAGCTGAAACCTGAGTCATTCTTTGTTCACATTCTTTGTACAATCTCATCACCATGGGCATTTTTGTTCAAGAATCATGCAATTTCATCAAGATCAATAGTTCCTAATGTCTATCTTAATGTTATGATTCTTTAAAAATGCCCTAACATCAACAATTGTTCAAACTCGAACCATTGTTGTCTTGCAACACCACCTAGTTACCACCACAAACCTAAAAGCGAAGATATACATGCATGTATCAAGGAATAGTATAGAAAACGGAGAGGGGAAGGGTATTGGCCAAAGAAGAGGGAATGTGGGAGGGGGTGGTCGGAGAAGAGGGAAAGGGGCCGGGGAGGGGATGGGTTTTATTATTACCTTAAAATCTTTTAGATTCTTGTATACAATGTTTTTTTTTTATTAACCTGGATATCCAACCCGCTATGCGAGTTGACTAATCCTTAGGCGACCACCTGCTTTGCAGATAGCCCGGAGTCACCACATTTGAACCTCCGTGGCCACAAAGAGATTTTTATTCCTCATTGGATTTGAATTTGAGACCTCCTGATATTTTTGATCTTTGGAGCCAAGCTCAAACCAATCAGGCACCACCTTTGTGGTTTATATACAATGTTCATATACTTGTACACTAGTTTATTAAGTTTAATAAACAAAAGAAGGACAAAACAACCGAGATGTCTCTCCACTTTAAGGGCATTACGACTAACGGATTTAGGCTTAGAGACTATTTTCAAAGCAAAATGCAACAATTCACAGTGACTATAATCTTGCACTTTTTGCAAAGGAGGACCACTTTCATAATTTTGTATTAACCACAAGGATCAAAGTTGTCACTTACGCTTATATTTGAAGGGCATCATATATATCACTGGCAGCATGCATCAAACCATCAGAAATAAAACAAGTTTGATCATCAATGGCTACCTCCTCGCACGATACCATCTTGAACTCGACCATCTCAGAAGAAACATGGGTTCTTCAAACCCGTCAAAAGCTCAAAAATGCGACCCCATTCGACGAAAACACACCGATCTCTGTTTGCCATGTGCCCAAGTTCATAAGCGTTATAAACCCTCAAGCTTATGCTCCTCAGGTGATAGCTTTAGGGCCGTATCATTACTTACGTCCCGAGCTCTGTCACATGGACAGATACAAAATCGAAACGATCAAATGGTATTGGACATCTCATCAAATCGGTCTCGTGGTAGAAAAGCTCCAAGAAATCGGGTCAAAGGTGCGAGCTTGTTATCACAAGTACCTCGATGTGGAAGATGATACTCTAGCCCTGATGCTTGCCATTGATGGGTTGTTTCTTATTTACCTTTTAAGTAAACATCTGAATCGTTTTACTGATGATGCTAGTGTTTTTAGAGATGTTATGATGCTCGAGAATCAAATCCCAATAATCGTTTTAAAGGAGATCGAAAACACCATCGGCTCCAACGATGCTGCATTGTTCTCTATGATGCAGGTGTTTTGCGAATCTCAGTCGCCATTTGTATTGAGCTCAGATTACCAGCAAGTTTTGCAAGAATCTGAAGTTCTTCACTTGTTGGATCTTTTGCATGAAATGATCACCATGCATGAAATCATTAAGCAGCCTGCTTCAGCTCCTCAAGAAGTTACAGAAGTATCACGACAAGAATCACTAGTTTTGAAAGTCGATCCTGATAAAGATAAGCTTATTCAAGATTCTATCGATATCTTAACAAGTGCAGCTGCAAGTTCTATCAAGCCAATCAAACAGCTTACAAGCTTACCATGGCGCAAGATCTCAAATCTACTCAGCCACGGTTCCGGCCTAAAAGAAGTTGCCTCCAAGAATCCATTGGTTCAAGAAATCGACATTCCATCTGTATCAAAACTCTCCAAACTGGCCGGAATCAAGTTTCAGCCGGAGACCGGAGGAAACCTGCAAATCCATTTAGATTCTCCGACCGCCACCCTCTACATGCCGGTGATTACCCTGAACGGCAACTCAGAAGTCATATTGAGAAATCTAGTGGCCTACGAAATGGCGAGTAGAAACAGCACCTCTGGGTACCATAATCTTATACTTGCTCAATATGTCGATCTCATGAGTGGCATGATTGACACAAAGGAAGATGCAAGTTTGCTGCAACGTGCTGGAATCATTAAAGGGGATTTGTCGAATTCACAGGTTGCAGATTTGTTTAATGGGATGAATAAATCGTCACAGAAAGTTTATAACGAAACTGCTGCTAAGATCAATGCATATTATTGGCAGAAACCGAAGGTGAAGGTATATAGGTTTGTGAAGAAATATGTGTACGAGTCGTGGAGAGTGCTAACTGTTGTTTTCACGTTGGTGCTGCTGTTCCTGATGATTTTGCAGTCGGTTTGTGATGTTTATGATTGCAAACGAGTTGTCAAATGGTAGATTATAGTTAAGTCGTTCGTTGTTTAATTTGATTATTAAGCTGTATGTATTGATTAAGCTGTCTGAATAAATTAAGCTATATCATTGTCTGATATGGTGAATAAATGTTTGAATAACAATAACAATAACGATTCCTTTACTCCAAGTATATAATCATATTTCTTGTAAAACTAACGATCCCAAAGAGACAAAGCAACATTCTTGGACACCGGTGACATCATGGACGTTCCAACCTTTTTGGAAGCCCTGTTACATCCAAAATTTTTCGTTACATTGCATAAATGAGATGACAAATGATATATGTTAATAATAAAAATGGGTTAAACCTAAAACGATTAACAATCTAAAACTAAACCTAAATTATTATTGATTTGAACCTAAAACCAAATAAGAAATTGTTTGAACCTAAATAATTTCAGCTATAGTTTTACATAGGTTGATAAAAAGACCCTACACACATGTAATTTGGGCCCCAAAATTTCGGACGCCCTGTTCAAAATCTCACATTTAACATGCTAAGGGACGGCTCTGGGTGACATGAGTTTCGGCCTCGCCAGCGTGGAAACTCTCGTGTATATATAACTCTGATCCACAGAAAGATACGCGGGCACCAAGGCGACTCGAGTCGCGGTATTGCTTGCATACCGATTCTTGAGAGATAAGCGATGTCTTAAGCCTATAGTCGCATCTCAGGTTGCAGATGATTGATTGGAGGCAAACGATTCACAATATTTGATTAGTTTTGAATAATTATTGCCGGACTTGGGATCATGTGAGACCAAAGGTTTTTCGTGACACCCGTAAGACCAATTCACAACCCTTAGATGAGATCTACAATTTCAACATTCATAATCACAAAATTGCCACGAGACTTCTCAATAATTACAAAATTGTCACCGTACAATTTTATACTATTAGATCAATAGCTTATAAAGTTGATTAATAAACATAAATTGGTCTCACGCGCCTCAAAGAAAACCCTTGATCTCACATTAACCCAACTAGAATTGAGTTCCTCCCGGCATCTCTACACTTTCAGAATGCAACCCTGATTGCAAAATACCACATCAGAATTTCGTTTAACATGACTTTCATTATTAAAACAATTAATTGCCATCAACTCAATACAACTTTATTTATTAAATTGTTATATTATTTAATTAAAAGTATTTTATTGAAAATAAAATTCTAAGTTATACATTAATAAATTAACAACGAAATTCTAATTATTAAACTATATATTTTAATAAATACTTTTATTGTTTGAGTGAAAAACCTTTAGTCTTTTTGTCTATTTCTTTGTTTTTTTCCTGTAAAAAAGTAAAGCTATATTTTTATACACACACATAGAGACATATATATATATATATATATATATATATATATTATGATTTAATTTGTTTAAATTAAAAAATAATTATATTAAATACTATTTAATATAATTATTTTTTAATTTAAACAAATCAAATCATAAAACCATATCTTATTTTATTTAGAAGGAATAAAATAAGATATTATTTTATGAATTGATTTGTTTAAATTAAAAAAAATTATATTAACGATGATTTAATTTTATTGTTCTTTTTCCTACCATTACAATAATCAAACAAGCTTATCATTGATATTTAACATCAAAATCATTGAAAACCATCAACAAATGTACTCCAATTTTATCATCCTAAAACCAAGATTTTCGGTTTTCATATTGTTTTTCGGCCAAAAACTTAAAATGAACCATTTAGATTTCAACCAAAGGAAGATTCATACACACTAAATATACAATCATTTTGGTAACTTAAAATTGAACAAATCTCTATATAAACTTCAACCAAGTTTTCATACCCAAAACAATAAAATTAAAATCGTAGTTAATTTAATTAATTTTTTAATTTGATCAAATCAAATCATAAAACAATATTTTATTTATTTTTATATCCTTATATACACTATTTTAGCCATAAGTTAATTTGAGAAGTGGTAAGTATTAGAGAAGTAGAAAAGTCATCCTAGCCTTTCATTTAATCAAGATTTACGGCTTTGACTGTGAAGCATAGGATAATTCCTCGCATGGTATGCCAAAGATAGAGGGATAGAACCACAAGGATGGTGCCTGATTGGTGGCTCCAAAGGTCAAAAGTACCAGGAGGTTCCAGGTTCAAATCCGAGGAGGAATAAAATTCTCCTTGTGGCCATGAATGTTCAAATGCAGTGACTCCGAGATATCTGTAAAGCAGGTGGTCGCCCTGGGATTAGTCGGCTCGCATAACGGATGAATATCCAGGTTAATAAAAAAAGATAGAGGGATAATTTTGTAATTTTTACAAATAGGTTGATAAAACAAGTGGATATGTGAATTCGTGTGATTTACATATGAACTATATGTTCATATGTGAACCTGTGTAATTTACATATGAACCATTTAACTGATTCATATATAAACCTGTGTGATTCGCATATGAACTAATTAGCTGATTCACATATGAACCCGTGTGATCTACATATGAACTAATTACTTGATTCATATATGAATTAATTAACTGATTCACATATGAACCCGTATGATTCATATATGAGCTAATTAACCGATTCACATATGAACTAATTAACTGATTTACATATGAACGTTGCCATCAATATAGCAAATTACACAATTATCCTTTGTGTTTATTTAATTAATAAAATTAACTAAATTAAATGAGTGGTCTAGAATGAATCTCATATATCTTACATTTTGGGGAGTTCTTAAAAGATTAAGCCCTTATATATATGTGTGTGTGTGTGTATATATATATATAGAGAGAGAGAGAGAGAGAGAGAGATAGAGAGGAAAGTTCAAACGAGAACGCTAACTATTTAAGAAAACAAGAAAAATGTCGTTAATGTATAAAATCACATGTGATTTTACAATAACGTCAAAAAAAATGAAAGCGGACCACTTTTGAGCCTGTATGATTTTGTACGTGAATATCACGACAATGTTGTTTATTAGAATTATCACATCACATTCGACTACAAAGTACAAACAATTATCACAACAATGTCGATTATCACATGATAAAAGACCTTCGAATATCACAAAGATAGAATCTTCAGATACAAAAAACAGTGGGGAGAAAACTATGGAGACATGAGATTCAACGTGATCAGATTCCAATCTAAAATCCTAGGATAATTACAATTAATTGAAATAACATATAAATTAACAAACACTAGGACCAAATCCATAGTTCACTCTTTATTAAATTACAAATAATTAAAATCTTACAAAAACTGGTTTTTTTTTGTAACATTGGGTTTCTGAGTCAGTTTACGTTCACCAATTAATCTCCAGGAGATCTCAAATAGTTTGGAGTCATCATAGGTGAACCTCCAAAGTCATAGGGCTTTGACCATGTTTGGATTCAAACCCGGGTTACATAAGATTTTCCACTACATCCTCATAAGATTTACGCAGTGTGCTACGACCCAGTTTAAAAGAAGTAGTTATATAACAACCGGTATCATTTCAAAAATGATGTGTAATTTACTAATTTTTAAAGTTGAAAAGGTAAAGATATAATTAGAGAATGTGTTGTAATATAAGCGGATAAAACTTTTGTGATAGATGGTCTCTTAAATCATTGTATAACAGCATTTTATATATAATCGATCATATCCATTAACCACCAATTAATCTCTGCTTATTTTATTCACTCCATCTTTTAATTTGCATCAGGATTCTATTCTTCTTCTCAAATCCAAGAACGATCTCGAAGTTATATATATTTTACTGTTTGCATGGTGAAAGCTTTCTTGGCTCACAAGTATTCTCAATCTAAAGAACAATTAACAATCAATTAACAATCAATTACCACCTCTTCAACTTGAAGAACAAGATTAACATCTGGTGTTATGATGAATACAACATGCCCTTATCCTTATTTAATGCATTTAATCCACCATTTGTATAAATAGAAGCTGCTTGGTTGTTCAACGTACATCTAATCATAAGCACAATCCAGAAATGAAAGAAATGGAACTCAATTCGATTTTGAATGCAAATCTTAGCAAACAACGATGGGTTGATCAAATCAGCAAGAATTTCAAAGACGAAGTTGGTGTCGACGTTAGCGATGTTCCTGTCTGCGTTTTTAACGTCTCGAAAGCCATAAGCCGGTTCAAACCTGAAGCTTACGTGCCTCAAGCTATAGCTTTGGGACCTTATCACCATTTCGAGACTCATCTCTACCAAATGGAAAGGTACAAAGTTGCAGTTGTTAAAGCGTTTTTAAACCCTGGTCAAGTCCTTTCCTTCGAGCCGTTGGTGATCGATAGACTCAGAAAGATCGACCCCATGATTCGTGCTTGTTACCACAAGTATCTAGACCTTGATGACGACACGTTAGCATGGATTGTGGCGATTGACGGCTTGTTTTTACTCTATCTGTTTAGAAATCACGGTGAATTGGAGCGATTCATACCTAAGAAGTTGTTGAATTACGCTATACTCTATAGAGACATAATGGTACTCGAAAACCAGATGCCATTGATGATCTTGAATGAAATACGAAAGATCCTCGATGATGATCATAGTAATGGCGATTCTGAGTTACTCTCGATGCTGAGAGGGTTTTGTGAGGTATATTCTCCACTCAAATTATGTTGCGATTTGGATTATTCTGATAAAACAGCGACTAGCTATTTGCATTTGCTCGATCTTATGTACCATTTAATCGTCAATAACCAATCGCCTAAACAAGCTTCTAAGCAAGAATCATGGCACCGGGAAATAGATGATGATGATCGAGAGATAGCAAAGAAACACCACGTTATCGGAAACATGGGAACGATCATGGAATTAGGGGAGCAATTAGGGAAGGTGAGAAGAGTCGGGAAAGCGATCAATGTCATATTAAGCATCCCGTGGGACAAAATATCGAGTTTACTAGGGTTTGGCAAAAAGCTAGACAAAGACGATGGCGATGATCATCCTCGTGTCACGGAAATTGAAATCCCCTCGGTGTCATCTCTTAGCAAATACGCTCGGATCAACTTCAATTGTACAAACGGAGGGATTAGGGACATGAAATTTGTGGTGACCGAAGCCACACTATACCTTCCGGTAATTACTCTCAACACTTACTCGGAAGTCGTGTTACGAAATCTGATTGCTTATGAAGCCGCTATCTCGAGATCAGCCATGGAATTGGCGCAATTCATCGATTTGATGAGTGGGATTATAGATCAGGAAGCGGACGTGAGGCTGCTAAAGGGAAAGGGCATAATCGAAGGCAGTATGACAAATAAAGAGATCGTGGATCTCTTTAATGGGATGAATATGACGAATGTGCACGCAAGAAGTAACGAGACTGTTGAACAACTTAACGAATATTACAACAGTAGGCCGGCGATCAAGGCGTGGAAGTTCACGAAAAAACGCATGCGTGGCTCGAGAAAAGCATTGACCGTCATGCTTACGGTTTTGGCGTGCATTTTGATGATCGTGTACTCGTTTTGTGAAGTCTACGGATGTCCAAAGTTATTTAACAAAATAACGTAGCATCGATACCTCATGATCTAAGTCATAGTTAACTCAGTGTGCAATGTATAAGGTTGCTATTTCCGTCATGTAGTGTGAGTTTTATCATGTGATGTTGATAAATGTTAAAACATAAGCTAGTTAACATGGTAGTTAGTTATTTAACAGTTACTTAATTTCTGTTAGTGGTCGTATGACAGTTATTTAACTATCATACGAACAGTGGTGTCTTTCGGTTTCAAAGGGTTGCAACCCTTGGCCAATCTGTTGTCTGTATATACAAGTAATGTATATTGTTTTCTGTATTTCAATTGAATTGAATTTGGATTAATAACAGTATTGTACAATGAAAGGTTTATTCCAACTAGAGATGGCCAAATCGGCCCGGTCCGTCCCGGGACCGGGACCGGCAAAGGACCGGCCCAGCCTTGGACCGGTTATGGAACCGAAAACCGGGACCGGTTGAGGTTTTTGGTAGTTTTGTGGGACCGGGACTGGTTATGGGACCGACTATGGATCGGCCCGGCCCAGCCCGTAAATTCAAATAATTTTATAAATAAATGTATTTTTAAATAATTTTATAATGTATTTTTATAAGAAAACGTAATTTTAATTATATTAAAACGTAGTTTTAAAATATATTTGAGTGACCCAATTGTAAATTTTATAATGTATCAAAAATATATATCATTAAAAAAATAAAAAAAATCTTATTTTTTAATGCAAGGACCGGTTGAGACCGGGACCGGGACAGGACCGGCGGCCCATAACCGGTTATGAAGTACGTTGACCGGTCCTATCATTTTCGACCGGGACCGGTTATGGCCGGTTATGAGAAAAGTTAGGACCGATTGGGACCGGCCCGGCCCGGGACCGGTTTTTGGCCATCTCTAATTCCAACAATAAATCCTATATTAATTTTCGAGTTATACATATATTTGCAACATTTCTATGATCACACATTAGATGTTAAAAATGTCTAAATATCAAAATTGAAGTCACACACATATATAATAATAATAATAATAATAATAATAATAATAATAATAATAATAATAATAATAATAATTGTTTATCAACTTATTATTACATAATTGTTTATTTTAAACGACTTATGCTTTTCTACAAAAACACTTATCAACTTATTATAAGTCAGAAGGGTTTAACTTCTTCAAAAACTCTTTATTACCGGGTTGACACAGGTATAAATTGTTTATCCAAACACTAAAAAATGCTTAATGTCGGTGTCACACCGGAATAAGTCAATAAGTTGTTTTCATAAGCAATTCCAAACACCCTTAATTATAATTGTTTAGTTTTGGGCAAAATGCGCAAAATAGCAACATACTTTCACAAATTTCCTTATTATAGCATTTTACTTTCAGTTTTTCTTATTACAGCAATATACTTTCAAAATATTTTTTATTAGGGCATTGTACTTTAAAAAATTTACCCATTATAGCATTGGGTAACCTGTTACCTTTTGAACATGTTTTTCTTTGTTGACGTGGCAAATTTAAAATGACATGGAAACCATGTAGGATAACATGTTACACATGGACATCCTACTTGTCATTTAAAAAAAAATTAATGTAAAAAACAATTTTTGAAAATGAAAAACCTTCATCCCTCTCATTGTTTAGACCGTTCCTTCTCTTCCTCTTCTTGATGACTGTTCATTCACCCACAATATGCTCGTTGCAACCATCCCTCGATTTAGCCATTGACTTCTGTTAACTCGTCCATGAACTACAAACACCATTCTTTGGACCGGATCTCCTTCTCTGATAATCTGTGAGGCAWCAAGTACAAATGTTTTGTTAACTTAATTTTTCGAAACAACGTGCACCTGCATTGTTTATTTGTTAGTTGGGTTTGTGTGACGACATATATATATATATATATATATATGTCTATATATGTAGTGGTGTAATCTTAAGAAGAACCTGAAAGACATGAGATGTAATAGTCTGTCTATTATTTTATATATATATATATGTGTATATATATATATATGTGTATGTGAGATGGAAGTGTGTGTGTGGGGGAGTATTTTAATTAGAGAAAAGAAGGGAAGTCGGCTAGTGAGCCGTCCCTCACTTTCTCTTTGGTGGTGTATGTATAAATAGAATTTGGTGAAGAGAAAACACAACACAACACAGTTCCATATTTAGAAATTTCCTCTCAAAGGATATTTGAAGAATCTGCACAGGAAGAAGAAGAAAAAGGTTTCAACAGCTTTGATTCTCAAGCTTATMAAGGTGAGTGTATTTGAGCTTTGAATATGAATTGCTTCATACAAATTGAAAAGCATTTCAACTKATTATTATGTGTGTGGATGCATTTTTATGTAAACCGGCTAAGTTGTGTCCGGATTGAAATCCGGATACTTAAACCGGATGTGCTTTGTCCGGATATCTAACCGGACAAGAAGTGAACGGTTTGTCTTAAACCGGACAAGAGGTGAGCSGATAAARTGTAAACCGCTTAAAGAATCATGTGATGTCTTGASCGGATTGTTAAACCGGTCAAGAGTTGTACGGTGTGTTGACCGGTTTATATTAAACCGCTCAAGGGATAAATTGTGTATTGATCGGTTTAATCTAAACCGGATGACAAAGAGAATGAAGTGGTGTCCGGATTTGTAAACCGGACAAAAATGTTATATTTTTAAGTGTTTGATCGGATTACTAAACCGGACAAAGAATGTTTATTTTCAGGGTTTGACCGGACTTCAAATCCGGATAAAAAGAGATGTTTTTGGAAAGTATGTAACCGCGAGAGTGATATGAGCAGTGTAAACTGCG